GTTAGAAAATATAAATATGAAAACCTCATAAGTCATTTTTAGTAATAAAATAATAGTATATATAAATGAGAATAAACAGATAACATTTAAATCGAATCGTAGGAATCAGTAAATAAATCATAATGGATAGTGTAGTAAACCGACGGAGTCGCTATCCTATTTTTTTTTAATAACATTAACATATTATAATTACATTCACATTCTCATATTATACTTCTGTCTTCCTAGACCTCGAGAATGAGTTCGGAGTACGTAGACTTCAGCGAATTACTAGAGGAGTCGACCTCGAGCCTATCAACTACAAACACATATTGCGATACCTATCTGAAGGCGATAGATTCATCCACCGAATAGGTGGCTTYTCAGAAGATGGACGACTATATCATAGATATAAACATTTATCGGTATGTGCTAAAAAACTATTTGATTAAATTACGAGATGATTTTTTAAATTATTCTATGAATATTATGAACACGCATATATTTCACTTCATTAAACGTTAAGTCAATACAACCGAGCTATCAATTTACAAAGAAAAAGATAAATATAAATTATTGAAAATATATAACAGCGATTTATATAACAAAATTAAAAACCATTTACACACTAAACACGATAACGTTATGTTAATAGCCAAGCTATTAGTTACAACTAAACCAGAGTATTTATTAAATTCTGATAGCTATAATTATAACTTCTTAGATAATGTGTTAGATAAATATTATAATGAAAAAAAAAAAATAACCGCAATGTACGTAGTACAAAATGTACGTTTTATCACGATAAAAAATATAATAAAAATTCAATATMAAATTTAAAAACAAAATATCCATTACTAACATTAACGCAATGTGAAGTAATAATAACGAAATGTTTGCATACAGCAAAGAAGATATCATCGACAAGGAGAAAGGAGATTACTGGACAGGAGCAGAAGCGAGGTGCAGAGCAACACTTCACAAATCCAATCTACTTGTGAACCAGATGAAGAATGCAATAAAGATAATGGCCAAACAAATAAAAACATCTCCAAACGCCAAGTTTATTCGAAAAAACAAATATTCAAGGAAGATGGGCCGTTAACTATCGAAGAGCTTTTATACCAATATCCTACATGTCCCCCTAAATCATATATGAAAATAAAAGAGTTTTAAAATAATAGAAATTTAAAAAATACTTTAATCAATTGTAGGTATGCCGAAAAAGATGTTCGTAGTTGGTGTCTAAAATTATGCGATTGGAAATTAAACGATTATATACATTACTATAACTGTAGTAAACCGACGGAGTCGCTATACTATTTTTTTAATTACATTTACATATTATAATTACATTCACATTCTCATATTATACTTCTGTCTTCCTAGACTTCGAGAATGACAGTTTTATCGATACCAGATTCAACCGTGTATCAATTATAAATAAGTATGAAAACAGAGCAATAAATTAGATTAGAATATTGCCGAATGTATGGGCGGCGGCTCTCTGAATTACTGAGAATCCAAACGTTCGCAATAACAACCACTTTGCGGTTCCTTTTGATCCACTTCCTAAAATATCTACCGTGTAAAAATTCTGCATAAATACA